CCCTCCCCAGCTGGACAAGCAGAATCAGGGTATAGCCCCTGCTGTGTCCTGTGGCCCCCCCATCCCAGCTGGGAGGCTTCTCCCAGCCCCAGTCCCTCCCTCTGCCCACCCCAACAGACTTATCAGCTGAAGGCAGCTGTGTCCAGCGTGGTGAGGACCTGCTGCCTGTTTAGTCTATGGCCGAATCTTTTCCAAATCTATTCGGAGGCTTCCAATTCAATTCAGAGCTTTTAATTGGTATCCTGATTCCATTTGGATTCACAGATTTGGTTGCCGAATCTCCTTGGAATTGAACTGGCTACCAAAGCTTTGCATGGCTCTAATATACACTGTCTTTATAATGTATTAAATTATTTGTATCTTGTTTCTTATGTTATGAAGAGAAGTTGAAATTAGTGCCTGTTTGTTTGTTTTTTAGGCATATAAGGCAGTTGTCAATGATGCTACAATATTTAAACTTGAATTGCCATTGAAGCAGAAAGGGTAAGCTGTTTAAATATTAATGTGCATTGGGCACCTTAAATATTGAAATATTTAATGTTTTAGGACATTTTCAGATTTGTATTTATTTATTTTAAGCATACCCCTGGTAACGCATCATATCTCATTTAGAAGTTCTTTGGGATTCTTGCATTGAAAGCATTGTGGAAAGGAGTGGGAAAAAAAAAAAAAAAGTAGGCAGATGGGAGCTTGGTGCACAGATTTTGTTTAAAAGCTTGGAAGGAAGGTTATATATGCTGAACAAAGTTGTTTACTGGGAGAAGCCCATTAATGCCAAGCAGTTTCATTCCACTAAGTTAATTTATAGAAGTAAAAGTAGTAGTTACTGTTTTTTATTCTCTGTCACTGGGTTGGGCATAAAGGAAAGCTAAGTTGTCAGAGTTTCTGAACAGTAAGTATGTGGATTTTTTCTTTTACGTGCTATACATTTGTTATTTTCAGTCAAAAATGATGAAAAGAGGAAGTGAAGATGAAAGAAGACAGGAGGAATAAATTATAGTTCTTAATCACAGGAGTTTTTATATGCCTTATGAGCGGACTGAATTTTCAACATCCAGAGAGTGGTTTCAAGCTGCTCCTTGTTGGAGGGAACTAGTCTCAGAGAAATCATAAAATTAAGTCTAAAATGACTTGGTGTCAGTCAGAAATACTGTCTGTTCTTCAGGTAGAAATTTCAAAGGCAGAAAGAGAATACCTGTGTCCAAAGTGACGTTTGGGAATAAAGTTTTCAAACCTTAGAATAGCACAACTGGACAAATTGGAGATTTTTTCAAGGAGTCTTATTTGGAAAGATCAAATTCTGCAACCAAAAGGTTTGGTGCAGAGTGCATTCTTTTCTATGGAGCAGTAACCTGGTATATACAAATCACTGGTACTTTATGGCGAACTAGATCTGAATTCTGTGACCACTTCAGCTAATCTAGAGGTATCCAGGCCGTGGGTTGCTAAATCGACGCCATGTGCTGTTCCTGGACCTTGCATGCAGTGTGGGCTGAACTTGGTGCCATGCGTGCTGTAGGCAGCAGTGGGGGCCAGTATGGGGCGCTGCATGCAGCCTTTGCAGTGCCAGGTACAGCCCACACACCACAGGCAGCACATGCCCTCTGCATGGACGTGTGCAGTGAGCTCCTAGGCCAGCACGTGCTGCACACAACTTGGGCTGGGTCGGCTGCACGCCCTACATGTTGCCTGGGGACTGTTACTGGGTGCATGCTGCGTGCAGTGTCTTGCTGGACTGGCTTTGTACTCTGGCTCCAGGACTGATCTAGATTGGGGCATGCTGGAGCCAGCATGCAGGGCTGGTCCAGCTGGCCACTGCATGAAGCAGATCCACTGTATTGGCCCCTTGTGGCATGCATAGTTCATGTGTCCAGTCCAGCCCCATTCAGTGTGTGAAGAATGTACTGGCCCCAGGGCTTGCTGTGCATGTGGCTCCTGAAGCTGGTACAGGGTGTGTGCTGTATGTGGCGTGTAGGAGTGGACCCAGTGCTGCACACAACACAGAGGGTGCAGGACTCTGGCTGCATGTAGTGCTCTGGAACAACTCCCTGGTGCTGCACAGGTAGTTAGTCCCAGTCCAGCCCAGCCCACAGACTGTCCAAGAGATGCTTATCCAACCCATGGGACCAGATTAGTATGACACCCCAGGGCTAATCTATAATAAAGTGTTTGATGGCTATACTGGTATATCTGTATTCAAGTTATTGTGGCTAGGTGCTGTATTTTTTTGTTGGTTCTCATTTGTAACATGGAAACATAGTTAGCCACTGAATGACAACTTTCTCAGGTGTTCAGCTTGGCCTTTTCTTGTGGCAGATGATTTTTAGTGGTTCATGTGAACACCGCTTATTTGCAGCATTCAGTTGATTGACTCTGGCCTTGAACTTTGAGGTTGAGTGATTTATCTTCACTTTTTTAAAAAATTGAATATTTAGAGGCAGAAGATAATGCCAATAGAATTCTAAAAATACAGCTATTGACTAGTATGTAATGCATGGTGTTAATTTTTTTCCCCCAAGAAAGTCCAAGTTAGAAAAGAAAGAGAAGGTGGGGAAGTGAAGATCACAGTGCAGTTTGTATTACTGATGGATTCCCTTAACAAAGGCATGGATCTCTGTTTTTGCCCTGTTTAGTGCTCTGTGTGTATGCTAAGGCACTGTGGAAAAGGATTCCTTTAAGTTCCTATTAATATTCCAGTTTCCTAGCAGTTTCCAACCAACAAGTTCGTGGGCCTTTCGTGGAATTAAAAACAGCCTTTTCCCCCTACGTTAAATTTTCTATCCACCCATTCCCTACCATTTGAAGGGCTAATGATGATCCTAGCTCAAAGACTTCCATTTTGTTCGTTTTGTTTTTTGAATTGTAGAAAAGGTGATAGTTGTGTCTTCCCCTCCTTGTTCACAATCTTTCCATTTTATTTATTCCATGAACTCCTCTCAGTGTTCTACCTGTTGGTCTCTGCTTCACCTAACGCTAGGTTATCATCTTCAGGTGCCTTGCCTTGGTCACAAACCAGGCAAGATAATGTTACTTCTGATAGCTGTTTGGATGCTCCCAGAATCCTAAAACTTCCTGTTTTTTGTGATTTGTACTGGTCGGAAAATCTTTGATACTATTGCAAATCCAAGGTTTCTAGAATTACCATAGCCAAAGGCTTTTCTCTTCCTGTTTCTAAGGCCTTAAAAAAATAAAAAGTAGCCCTTGCCTACAAGCTGTTTTATGAGCCAAAAAGGATGAGTTTTCTAAAGAGTTCTGTAAAGCTGCCACCTTATGTGCTTTGTATACCTTTTGTATACCTGTTTTAATAGTATACCCTCTGCTGATTTTTTGGTTTATCCCTATGTTTTCAAGCCTGTTATTTCTAGACCACCTTTCAAGGATTAATCTTGCTCTCAATATTGCTTTTACTTCCATGAAATGCTTTGTTCAGTCCACTGGCCTGCACTGGTGGCCAGACACCTGAATTCTCTATGTTGTTTTGGAACTTGCTCTGTCCTGTGAAACCTGCTTATGAAAATTATTGTTTGAAATAAATCTTGGACAATTCTGAAATTTACAAACAAAAAAATAGTTGGAGTGACCCACGATGGAGGTGTCTGAGAATAGTTGGTTGCCTTCTGTAATTGGAATGAATGGGAGGAATAAGATAGAATTAATCTGTTTTGCAATGGTTTAACTGACATATGAACAGATTTACCAGATAAAGGTACTTTCCTCAGGAATCTGCTTGTCACTGGTATGGTGACTCTGACATAACTATTTTTTTTACAAAGCTTTTTCACTTCATATTGCATTTAGGGTTGGATTGAAAACACAGCCTGAGTCCAAATGTCCTGAGCTGCTTGCTAATTACTGTGATATGTTGCTAAGAAAAACACCACTAAGCAAAAAACTAACCTCTGAAGAAATTGAAGCAAAGCTTAAAGAAGTGGTATGTCCATGTTCACTGTCTCTTACCTAAGAAACCGTTTTGGTATCAACTGACCTGCATCTACTGTAACAGTATTTTTGAAGATGAGATTTTGAAGGAACTGCCTATGAAGTGGATAACTGTTGTAGTAATAATTGTTGCTTAACTTGGAATGGTCATAGAATATGCATTGTCGAGCTTTCATGGGTCCAAATAGTGTCACATGTTAGTAATGTTGATTTAATATGCAGGTTTGCAATTAATATATTTGTATACTGTAATAAATGTTATAGGTCTTGGCTACAGGACAGGCCTTTTGTGACCAAATAGCTGCTGCTGCAGGGAAGCTATGCATCCCCTGCCAACTTTTGTTAGCGCTGTGCAGCAGGTACACTGTACCCTGGAAGGCACCAGGAACAATGGCTTCAGGCAGAGATCCCAGGCACTTCTGCCTTCACTTGTAGTTCTCTGTGGTGGCAGAAACTGCCTGTCACCTCAGGTTTTGCTTTCCTTTGTCAGAGTCCTGCAGTCAGAGAAGAGCTGTAAGTGTGGGCACGGTCACCAGAGGTCTATCAGCAAAGCTTACTGTGTAGATCAGACTATACGTAATGAAATACATACCTATCAAGAAAATAGAACCATGACACGAGATGTTCCATGGGGCAGCTTGTTCATCAGCAATTGCAGTAGTTCCATAGCTAGTGACTATCTCCAGCAGTACTCCTTTTGAAGAAAATCAGGAGTTCCTTTGTGCTGGTTTCATTTGACATTGATATAAAACCAGTGTTGAAGGAAAGTGGTTTGACTTGGTATGGAAAATATATTAAAATCTCTTACTTTTTTAACAGCTTTTGGTACTTAAATATGTACAGAATAAAGATGTTTTTATGCGATACCACAAAGCTCACTTAACAAGACGTCTAATATTGGATATATCGGCTGATAGCGAAATTGAAGAGAACATGGTGGAATGGTTGAGAGTAAGTGTCTGTACCTTGATTCTTAGCTCTTGGTGCTCATAATTTTAGTTTGTATTTATGAATGTAAACATTCTTCTTATTTACACAAGTTTCTACCTTAAATCACAGTCCAATTATGAATCTTTGTCTCCTCTTATCTTGATACTTTCCAGGTTTAGAATGGATTAGTTCCTTCCTCCTCTCAATCTCTGCAGAATTAAATAGCTGTAGGCCTAGATCTTCAAGGTGTGCATCATGTGCACTTCTGCAGTGTTAACAGTTGAATTTCTCTTTATGTTGACCCTTGAATGCATGTGCAATATTGGAAGACTGAAGGGATCCAAAATACAAGAACTTAAGTTTAGAAGAACAAAAATCAGCAAACAATTTCTGGGAGAGTGCTCCCAAACGTCATGGATGCCTACATGCCTAAGCAAGTTAGAGACACTTTGTGCAAATACATGATGGCTTTACACACGGTGCACACCTAACATACTTGACGATCTAGGCCTACAGCTATTTAATTATCCAGAGAACTAAATGACGAGGGAGGAGAGGAGGGAGAAACCAGATAATCAGTTCTAAACCTGAAAAGTATTGAGATAAGAGGAAATAGTATATTATGCAAATATAATAATTGGCTATTATAATATCTAAATTATTACGTCCAAAGTGTGTGTGCATCCAAAAAGTTACTTTGTCATAACGTTGTAACTTGCTATTACAAAGTGCTATAATCTGTGTATTTTAGTAAAGCAGTTTTAAAACAAATGGCTATTCCAAAGGTAGATGTTTGGAGAGGGAAAAAAAAAGGGGGTCAAAAGTCAACCCAAGTACAACAGCCCATTGGGACTAATATAGTAAAAGCTTGCTAGTCAATAGCACAATAAAGAATTATGTTGCTATCATTACATGTGCCCATCTGATTTCCCCAGCCTACTGACCCCCATTTACAGCTGAGTATGGTAAGGGAAGCTTTCGGTATGAGTTTGGAGGAAAGCTAAAACTGGCATATCAGGAGCTTTAACTGCTCTGCCTCCGTGTGCCTAAAGACTGATGTGTGTAGTCTTTTGGTTTCCAAGTTGTGCTGTTACTCGGTTTAATTTGTTATCTGTTTATACAGGAAGTGGGTATGCCAGCGGACTATGTAAACAAATTGGCTAGGATGTTCCAGGATATTAAAGTATCGGAAGACTTGAACCAGGCCTTCAAAGAGATGCACAAAAATAATAAATTAGCCCTACCAGGTATTATTCTCGGATGTTTTGATGTGTCTCTATTCATGTGTGTATATTAAAAAATGGTTCAGTCGAAACTTAAGGTATTGCAATAATTTTTATTCTCCCATTTGAAGACTCTCTAGCTGTCAGGCCTGGATTCTCCGAGGTATTTAAGCATCATTCCACTCACTAGTTTAGTTCCCAACTACTTACTGGAATCCTGAGCCCAAGTTCTCTTTATGGGTCATGGGGAGAATTAAATACCTAAGGAAGGGATCAGAAGAACCAGCAGATCTGAGTGGAAAGATACCTAAGGAAGCCAAGAGTGAAATGCAGAGGAAAGGAGAGTGGCTTAGTTTCCCAAGTTTTAGACCTGGTGTGCCTGGCCAGACATAAACACCTCCTTCCATTTCGAGACCTTCGTTGCAGACCACTTCTTATTGTTAGAATGTAAGCAAGGCCATTGGCTGAAGTCAGTGATTCTCAACCAAAGTGATTTATCACCCTGGCGTGCCTTGAGATCCTCCCTTTCCAGGGTGCCTCACGGTGCCATGTAATGTTGGTTCTGTTAGGCGCGCAAACATGATTCGCAAGATAAACCCAGAGATATCGAATAGGGGATCGTAGTGTGAGAACATTCTGATCTGTTGTGGTCTTTCTGAGTTCTTTTCAACAGAAAAACTGCTGTTATTACTGTTTCATAGTAAAAAAGAAAAAAAGGGTAAACTAGAAGCTAGCGTTTTCCAAGGGGTGCTTCAAGTCTAAAAAGGTTAAGAACCTCTGGTTTAGGTAGAGTTTTTTGTTTTTCCCTTTTTTCTCCCACTATGAAAATACTGGTGGCACAGTTAGTGAATTTATTGATTTGAAGGTCTGTCAGTGAGACTATAATCAGTTCTTAAGTAAGAAGTGTGGGAGAATGAGAAAAAGGTGTGTACTCTCTTTCTATAGCGTTAAGAATTCTCCAAATATCTTTAAATTCATTTTAATCTAGGAATTTTTTTATTGTTCCATTCTCTGTATATAACTTATAGATCTATCCAGTGGTGCTAACACATAATTTAACCCCTCAGTTATCATTAAAGTTCCTTTAGTATCTTTCATGACTTTGAAAAATATAACCTCTACAAATTTTAGTACATTTGCATTAGGAGCTTAAATAGTTACAAGACTGACTATGTATTCTTCCATCAGACATCTAACCATGAGAAATCTGCCTCGTTTGTCTTGGTAAACTTCCTCTTCTTTAACTGCTACTCTTTGTTAATTGCAACCATTACTCCTCTGTTGGAGCACAAGGAAAAGAAATAGTTATCAATCCATTTTGCTTTAAAACTATTATTAATATATTTTCTAAAAGGTGCGTCTTGTATAATGCATATATCTACATCTTGATCTCTTGGCCAATTTGGTATTCTTTTTATTTGAGGAGTATTCATGCCTTTTTAATATAGAGAGAGAGCTGTTAGTCTAGCCATAGTATTATTTTCGTATATAATCCTTTATTTTTCACCATTGCTGCCTTTTTTACTCCATGCCACTGTTGTCACTTGTTAGGGTGTTTTGTGACGAAGATATCTATTCCTTTATCAGAGTATTTAAGAAGGATTGTCACCACAGTGTATTCCAGGGGGGCTCAAGGTTTTGACCCCATGAGCCAGATGAATGGTATGGGGTTGGTCCACGGGCTGAATCATGCCCTGGGGCCATCCCTGCCCAGCCCCACACACTGGGATTGTCCCATGCTGTCCTGTGTGCATGGCCAGCGGGGCTCCCCACAAATATGTGGGCCGGATGACACTGTCAGGGGCCATATCTGGCCCACAGGCCAGGGGCTGAGTAGCTCTGTTGTATTCCATTAAACTTATCATACAAGAAATACTTTTCTTATTTTCTATCCATCTCTGTACCTCCCCCTGATTTTAGCCATAATATGCAAAATATTTCCCACCATACCCAAGTGACTTTTTATGTAGATTTGTCATATTCTAGGTTTAACATTGGATCCCACAGACAACAGCCTGAGATGCATTTAATTCTGGGTAGCGCCTTTACCTTTGCTTTCCTGCCCCCCTGTCCTTGCAGTTTTCACTATAAGGCTTGGTTGATATTTTTTTTTTTCCTTTAACAGCCAGGATTTTACCTACACATATGATTTATATCATTCCACACCCATTTCTTCAAGTTTACTTTCAACCTCTATTTCAGTTTTAATGACGGTGGGGTTTCTGTTGTCTTTCAGACTCTTGGGTAGGAATAAAAGTTCTGGATGTTTTCTTACAAAAGCCTCTAGGTCTTGTTTTTATCACTGAAAAACCTACATCTTCCTTGAAATAGGAGTCAGTCTTGCAGGGTACCAAACAAAGCAGTGATTCTCAAACTATGAAGTGGGCCTTCCTGGGGAGGTGCGGCATCATGTCAAGTGAGCCATGAGTCATTTTTTTTTTTTAAGGAGAGGTTGGATAAGTTGGGAAAAAAAGTTATATATTTAAAATATAATACATTTAAAAATAACTAAAAAAATAAAATAACACAAAAAGCTTGTATTTACTTATGTTGCTTAGCAACTGTGACATCAGATCTATGTTACATTGTTTTTCGTAAGTAAACTTACAAACCTCAGCAACATGCTTAGTGAGAAACAGCTTAAATGAGAAATGGATTGTTTTGTAACAAAGAGAAAAGCGTACAACCCAGGCCTAAGAGTACAGCAGCAGACATTGCAGCAAAATGTAAAGGTTGAAAATATGATGAAATTTATTTAAATCTTGGTTTCACATGGAGCAGGTCCAGCAATGCACTGAGGCCTCAGTGTGTTGTATGTGCCATTGTACTGGCAAATGACAGTATGTGGCCCTGCAAGCTATGCTGGCATCTTGAAACAAGACACCCTACCGTAATATCTAAACCCATAGATTTTTTTCCAGAGAAAGCTCAATGAGTTAACAGGACAAAAAAATTGTTAAAGTGTATAGCACTGTTGACATGAAGGCTACTGAGGCTTCTTACTGTGTGGCTTTGCGCATTGCCAAAGCAGGCAAGGCTCACAGCGTAGGTGAGAAACTACTACTTCCAACTGCAAAGGATATGTGCTCAGTGATGATAGCGTTGCAGCTAGATGTGATCCCACTTTCAAATGACAGTTTTATGCAGTATTGTGGAAATGGCCACTGCTGTTTAAAAAAAAAAAAAAAAAGCTCTTAGCAAGTGTTCATCAGAGCCCGTATTATTCCATTCAGATAGATGAGTCTACTGTTGTATCAAATGCTGCACAGGTACTGGTGTATATTTGTTTTGCTACAGAAATAGAATTAAAGGAAGAATTAGTTTTGCTGCACACAAGCAACTGGTGAAGTCTCTCCCCATGAGCAACTGGTGAACAGTTTTTTAAACTGTTAAATACTTTTGTCCAAGACACAAACCTTGATTGGGGATGTTGTTTTGGAATTTGCAGCGATGGAGCACAGTCTATGACAGGACAGCATAGCAGGCTTGTGACAAGAAGTGGCCCCCACAGCAACCTGGAATCATTGTATGATCAACAGACAGGCACTGGCTGCTAAGAAGATGCCAGAGGAGCTCAGCAGTGTATTTTCAGTTGCAGTAAAAACTGTAACCTTTATAAAGTCATGCCCAGTTAATTCCAGCGTTTTTGGCATTTTATGCAAAGAGATGGGGGCAAGCTTCACACACAGTTGTTGCTACATGCAGAAGTCCATTGGCTGTCCAAGGACTTGTGCAAGGTACTGACAAAAGTATGTGAACTACGTGATGAAGTCTGTATTTTTCTTGTTCGTGGTAACTCCCCACTTCTACAGTATTTTAGTGACACTTGTTAGGTATCTTTGTTGTCATCTGGCTGACATATTCAAGCGACTGAATTCTCTGAATGTGTCACTTCAGGGAGAAGATGCAAAATGTGTTTGTTGCTATTGATTGGATAGCAGGGTTAGTTAATAAACTTGAACTGTGGTCTTCACATGTGCAGTGGGCATCTGTTTGCATATATGCAGCACTGGAGGACATTGTGCAACAGTGCGGTGATACATCAGTTGACAGTATCCAGGACATAGTTGTTCATCACTAAGGGAGTCTGCAAGAGCCGTTTGTGAATACTTTCTTGAAGTGGGCTAAACCAAATGTAAATAGTGGATCAGGAACCCACTCCCCTTTAAGTCAATCCCCACAGATGTGCTGTCCCCAAAAGAAGAGGAAAGCCTTATCAACTTGTCAAGCGACCAGGAACTGTAGCACAATTTTATTTATTTATTTTTTTACAAATGCCAGCTGGTTATCAATAAGATCTGAGTTTCCTGAGTTAACACTCTTAAAGTCCTCGTTCCTTTTTCTTCCATCTACCTATGCGAGTCAGGCTTTTCGGCATTAACTGCAGTCAAAACAAAGTGTAGGTCCCAGCTTTCTGTCAAAGATGACTTGTGTCTCTTCCTTTCTACGTTGCAACCGTGCATTGCGCTACTTTGTGAAGTGAGGAAACAAACACCCCCCATTGCTAAAGTAGGACTGATGGATTTCATACAGAGTTAAACATTTAAGGAAAAATGATACCAAACAATGATAGGTTAAGTGAAACTTTAATTTAACTGCTTCTGTTTATACTGTCCTTGCCCTTGACCTTAAAATGAATACTTTTGAAACTCAAACTAATCTTTTATTAATCAAATCCCATCAACTTTTTTTATTCATTTTTGGAGAATACAGGCCTACTATTTTCAATTTGTTGCATTGGAGGTGCAATTTTTTTCACAGCTAAGTGAGGCTAACTATGAAGTTTGAGAACTCCTGAAATGGACGTAAAAGCCTCTGGCGTAGTCAGGTTCTCTCTGGGAAGTTTCCACTCTCCTTTTTAAGTGTTCCTACACCTTCAGTCAAAAAATCGTAGTATTTTCTCTTCTCATAACTTTTGTTTTTAATTTTCTGGCTTCTCTTAATTTCTTTTTGTTGGTATTTGAAAAAAATTGCTATGATGGCACTTTCTGAAGGTTGTAGCCTTACAACCTGGTGTACCTGCT